AAATTTTAAACTTTTTTTTTACTCCCTTTAAAAAACCCCCAACAGATTGTCTTCAATCGGACTTGGGTTTGGTTTCCCACCCCCCCTTTTTTCCCTTTCCAATTTAAACAGAATTTTATAAAAAATTTTTTTTCACCTCAAAAAAAAACCCATCCCCAAAAAAGTTTTAGTCCAACCCCCGCAAAAAAAAAAATTTTATAAAAAAGCAAAAAAGGGGTTTCTTCCCACGGCCTTTTAAAAAAAAAAACCCCTCCCCACCCTTTACTTGTCCAAAAAATCAATCTAAGCTTTTTCCAAAGGGAAACAATTTTAAAAAACCCCAATAAAATTTTTCTGTTATTTTAAAACAAAAAAGAAGCAGGAATCCCATCCTAAAGGTCTTTGAAAAAAAAATTCCATCATTTAATTGAAAAACTAACTTTATTTTTTCCAGGAAAAAGGGTTTTTTTTAAGATTTAAAGGGAACTTTCCATCATAATCATATCATTACTGCCATTCCGGACACCCAACACTGAATATTATTCAATTCAACGATACAATTTATAAAATTTTTGAAAACCCTTTAACATTTTGTAATTACTTTTTGACAATTTTAACACTTTGGAATTTCTTAAAAACGGGGGTACAGGGCCTCTTGACAATACTTTTTGGTGCAACAATCCAGTTGAAACCCTCGCTCTTCTCTTCATTATAAAAAAAAAGGGAATAAATTTTAACCCTGGGAAAAACCCTTTTACAACTCTAAGTCCTAATGAAAAAGTCCCCTTTCCTAAACATACCACCACCCACCACATCCCCTTCCCCCATCCATCCAAATCCATAAACCAAAAAGATTTTTTTCTAAATAATTTTCATTAAATTTTTGAAAACAGGGCCCCCCTTCCTTTCCAAAGTTTGTTTTGTATTAAATTTATTAATTTTCCAATTTTTAAAAAAAAATTATTTTTTTTCATACTTTTTTCCCCTTTGCCATGGAAATTAATTTTGAATTTCCTTTCTCCTAATAAAATTAACCCCTAAACTATATACTTTTTAAAATTTTTTTTTAAACATAACCCCTGGAACGGATTTATTTCCTTGGGTTTTGGGGGGTATTAAAATTTTTATTCTTTAAAAAAATAATAGGGCTTATTTATTATTTTTATATAAAATTAATATATAATTTATATATATCTCTATTAATTATATTTTTATATTATATATATTTATATATATTTTTTATATATATTATAATGACATTTTTTTATTCATACTAGAGTATATATCAGGTTTCTGTGTTATTTATATTGTTTGTTATGTCATATTAGATGAACTGTGATAGATAAATAAGCCATGTAGATGATATTAGTGAAATTATTCATGAAGTATTTTGTCCTGTTTCCAGACAAACTCTTGTCCACCACCAACACTGCCCATACCACTTCATGAATTACATATTTTATTCATTTTAGAGTATATATCAAGTTTCTTTGTTATTTATATTGTTTATTATGTCATATTAGATGAAGTGAGATAGATAAATAAGCAAGCCGTAGAATTGATATTAGTGAAATTATTGAAGTACAGAATTCCATTGGAACAGATTAATTGCATTTCAGTTAATTTAAATGAGGAAAAGTGACTCTGCAAGCGAGCAAATCCAGTTGCGAGCAAGGTCATGGAACGGATTAAACTCGCAAGTAGAGGTTCCACTGTACATAAGAGATGGGTAAGTGAAGAAATGATGGAAAGCATGGGTGAGAGTGAAAAATATAGGCAATGTAACATAAATACAAGAGAAACATATATACAAAGTAGCACAGGTGAGATGGGAGCATGAATACTGAATAACACAGGTGTGGGGCAGAAATCTTAAGAAACAGGCAGGCAGGAATAACTGAGAGTGGATAAATTAGACACATGTGTAAGACTTGGGTATCTTTATTGAGGAAACGTTTTGCCACAGTGACTTCATCAGTCCATACAAAGGAGAATGGTGAAGAACGTTTCCTCAATAAAGATACCCATGTGTTACACGTGTCTAATTTATCAACCTGTCAGTTCTCTGAATCATTTATCTACATAATTGAGAGTGTTCTCTAGTGGACCAGTGGATCAGTGAGTAACTTAGGGAAAGGAAGCAGAGAGAGATTATCTGGGAAGAGTAACAAGTAGTATACCACAAGTTGCCTGCAAATTATATCTGTAAGTGTGCCAGTCCAAGCTACAGTAAAAGTTGCACTTCTGGAGTCTTGCAACGAATTTCCATAAAACCATGTACTATATTTTGGGGTTTGAGTTATGATAGTCTTAAGGTATAATATGTTTTCTAGAACAGATAAATATCATAACTCAAGGGACCACTATGCTCCACGGACACTTCCTTTCATTATGATCATTGAAATAATTGTTTTTTTCTTCAAGGAAGAAGGGAATCTTAGCATTACAGTTAATTTTCTATCCTGTTTTTCTAGCAAGCAAGCCTCCTTAATGTTGTTGTTTACTAAATTGACCCATAGTT